TGTATCAAATCATTTCAGCTATAAATATTTTAGTATAGCATGACAATGCCATCACATGTAAAAATTAACAGTTACGGAATTAATAAATATCCAGTCTTTTTTAGGGCTGAGATTGGGTCATATGTATCATAAATGCTTTGGGGGGGCTTTGTTTCACATTTTGTTGGTTTCAATGGGCTCCAAATGAAAACTACATTGTATAATTGGTTGATCTGACTTAAGTCTTCTCTGATGTATACATTTGCCCTTCATTTGTATTGTTTGACTGCAATTTTTACACCAAGAAACCAGGTCATTTTCTTTCAGAGTTTCCCATACTTCAGAGTTTGCTGGTTATATCCTTATAATGTAATTTTCCATGTTTCTGTGACCTCTTCATATCTGTAAACTGATCATTGGATCTAGAGATTTGATTAGGTCCAGGTTCCTTTGAAGGAGTTTTGTTTGGAGAATAATAGAGGTTGGCAAGGCTAGTTTGTAAAAGATTATTCTCTCTCCCTCCCTCTCCCCTTTGGGTGTTTACAGTTACCAATACTCAATGCCTTTATCTATTAATTATGGATCTAGCAGTTTATTTGGACAATATTATAAGCACATCATTCATATAGACACGTTTCTGGGGAAATGCGTGTGTATGTATGCTAACTAACTTGTCTTTCCCTTAATCCCTCTTTGTCTCATTACTTGTTCTTTAACATCTCTTGTTTTGAAATTCTTTTTGTGAACATGAAAACAACGTGGCCAAATTTATAGTAACAACTTTCCAGAAGAACACAATTAAAAGGAAAGAAGCATTTATAAAAACTAAAGAGGCCACAGAAAATGTGTATCTTAGTTCGATCTATTTTAAATCGAAATTCTACCCAGAGAACATTCTTCTCATGAAGGTGACAGTTTAGAACTATCAAACACTTGAAGCTTGAGAAATTAGAATAGGAAGATTAGAAAAACTCTAACATGGCCCTCATTTTAAAGTGACCTGGAATAGAATGATAAAAATATGTCAAGATTTACTCATGCATCTTTAAGAACATGGAATCTGAGCAGGATAAGAAGTGATTTGTATTTTTTGTTTTGTTTTCTTTCATGAAGCATGTGTTTTATCTTAAGCCAGCTCACCAATACATTACATCTCTGGTCAGGCTACATGATTGATTTCATGCTGTTTGACCTAACAACCTGGCAACTTCTGAGTGACAGTGATAAGATGCTGACTCATGATACAGATGTTCTAATGTCTGTCACAACATGAAAGGTATTCATTTAACTGAGACAAGACCAAGTAGATAAACAAAAGCAATGTGTAGCTGATTGATTCCAAGGATTGGAGAACATACAGTACAATTAAAGATAAAAATGTTTACATCAAATAAAATTAGAAACTTGCTATAATTGTTTCATCCCATAGTGTGGGGTTGGTGTGGGGATCCTATGACCTTATTGAGATATAATTCCCATAGATATAATTAACCACTTGGAGTATACAACCCAATGTTTTTTAGTATATCATAGGATTATACAACCTTTACACAACCTAATTTTAGAACATTTTCCTCTCTTCCAAAGAACTGCCATGCCCATTAGCTGCCAATTCCCCCTTTCTCCACCCATACCCTTATCCCTAAGCAAGTACTAAGCTAGCTTTCTTTATAGATTTGCCTGTCATGGGTACTTACCTTTAAATTGCCCTACGTGACCTGGGAAAATTCTTTTGATTTTTTTTCTCTATATTGTCATAACAACAAAGAAAATGGGATACAGCCCTCAAACACATGAGTGGATATTCAAAAAATTGTAGCAGGATAACCTAAAGATACGTTATTGAATCTAACAGCATCAATAGCTGAAATAATCACTAAGCAGTGAAGCTTAAGGAATGACAGATCACTTAAGTCCAACGCTAGTAATTTTGAATATGAACTTGAAGTGTGTTTGAGTTTTAGAAACTTCCTGTGCTCTTAAGAACAGCAATATTTGCAACCAGTAGTATTTGCCAATTTGATTTCTGACTTTACTGCTTACCTACCTGTGTGACTCTGGACAAATAAGGAAATAATGAGAGGTTAGCATGAAAATTAACACATGTAAAGCTTTTAGAATCAAGCTTTCTACTTAAGTGCTGAATAAATGGTAGTTGCTGTTTTATCACTTTTATAAGAACTCAATAACTTAGGTAAAATTGCAAGGTAAAATTCTTAGATATGCTAATTTACCCCATGCTACATTGGATTGTATTTTCAAAGTCTCTGATCAAAGTTTCCTGCCATGAAAGCAAGGGATCAGGATTGAAGATGCTATAATGTAGGAAAATAAATAATATCATTGATCAAGTACGATTAAGAATAGAGCCATAAACCAGCCTTCAGTTACTTTAGAACCATGTATTCTATAATAGCCAAAGTGCTAATTTATTATTCTCACCTAGCACTCATGTAACAGATTTTTCTTTTCTATATTAAAAGAAAACATTGCAGTAGCAAAAGCTTATGTAATGATACACATGTCTAATAAAATAAATAGTATTAACATTATAAACCACATATAATCTTTTATAGTTGAAATGTTTTAAGACTCTAAATGTGTGACTTTTAAATCTGTGTGAACTGAAAATTGTGATTTAATTTTGTGTCCGTAAATGTAAGGAAATGTAAACACCAATAATTCTACTACCTCATTTTCAATTCCAATAAGAAATGGCATTTGCCAATAAGACTGTTAGATAATTTAATGTCTGAGGTATTATTATGTATTTTCTGTTCTTTAAAAAGTGTGGTACTCAGTATTATTATGTCTCAATCAGATAACTCATGATACACAACATTTTCATACTTGGGAAATGTTAACACATTACATTCCTTGCTTTGAAACATAAAAGAATTAATCACAGACAACACCTTTTCATTTTCATTTGACCCCTGAAACAATTTTAATGATGTGATTTGCATGCAAGCTCATATTGGGGCCCAAAGGCCTTCACATTCTCAACTGTGTGTATTTTCACCCCAGGCTTTCCTCCTCTTGGCATTGTTTTGTATTTGCATGAAAACTTCTTTTTTTGCATGAAGTCATCCATAATGTTGAAGATAAATGTCTAACATACCTTGCACTATCACATGCCATTGATTCTTACATGTTTTTTTTTCTGTTATTTTCAGTTACTGAAATTTAAATATGCTTGAAATGTAAAAGTGGCATGAAACTGGAGTGATGCAAGAATAAAAGATTATCATTTTTGGTGTTTTGGGACACTAATCCTCAATTAAAAATCATGATGTAACTATATTGATCACAGGTACAATCAGCAGAGTAATAAGTTCTGAAGTAGTACCTTTTTTCCAAGAGAAAATATTTTTAGTGCTTGAATGTGAAGTATAAAACTTGTCCCCTGATTTTATAAATTATTGAATGCTCCACTGACTTTGGTGGAATTTCTTAGTACCTAAAAATATAATGAATAACTTAATGACAAGACTAACATTTTAGTACTTTAATGTTTCCTAAACTAACATGATGACCAAAATGGATATTTGAGGTAGGAGAGCATGAGCGTGCAAAGAAAATAAGTTATTTATACAATTTTGTCAAACTTCAGATCCAAAAGGGCACATGACTGAGTCTCACCAGTGAGACAAAATGCATACATCCAAACAGTTGCTCTTTCCTTCCAAATAGTCACCGTGCTGACTGCACACTTTTTCCTACCAGTTGTCATTGACCCCTTTTCAAATTTTCTTCTAAGCCATTCACATATTCATTTTCAAACCCATGTAGTGAAAATCTTGTTCCTTGGGGAATGATTTTAATTTTTTTAACCACGTTAAAGACCCACAAAACTGATTCATTCAAATGAGAATGGTAATCGAGCTGGCGAAACATTTTTAAAATTATATGTGAATATAAAATTAATAAGCCTTGCATGGCCTATAGCTTGTAAAATGATCGCAAATACATCTCTCAAAGAAGAATCCCACAAACCATATGCATAAAAACAGAAACAGTTATTACTATTAAAAGTTTTCTTAGGAAGTTATTAGGGGAGCACATATTCATTTGAATGAATAAATTTCAATGCCTATAATATGTGTATATATTGTTTTTAATTTGGCCTCATTTAAGCTAATAGAATAGCTTATGCCTTAAAGACAGTCATTCTTACATTATTTTAATCTTATCAGAATACAGATGAGTGACTGTCATTTCTCCCTTGCTGGGTGAATATAAGTTAATGCCACTTTAACAGCAATTTTAACAATTTAGGTCGACTGCTTCCTGGCTGTTAACAACTAGCTCTGTGCTACTGGCTTGGACTCAACCTCTCTGTGCTTCTGGCTCCCTCTACAAAATGAAGGCTTGAGGCTAAATTATCTTTGAATAAAAATGTTATGCTGTAATTATCATATACTGTGAGACTATAATTATCATATATCCTAAATCTACATATTTCTCTGTGCAGCTTTAATTAAATCCAAGTTGAAGTAACTCAAATTCAAATTATTTTAAAAGATGACTCATCACTAAGAAAACTAGTTTCTCTAATAGAGAGTCTTTTCTACCTGATAAGATGCTATTTGTACAGCACTTTATGTTTACATTGTCTTACGTGAGTCTCACAACCTAAGAACTGCTATCATTATCCTCATTTTGCAGATAAAGATACTGAGGTTTAGAGAGATTCAGTTACTTGTCAAAGGTGATGAGCTAGCAAGAAGTAGAGCCAAGACAAAGGCTCCGGGTCTTCTAATTTAAGACTTTTCCCCTCCATCACCATTTATCTATAAGCAGTCTTTTGATTATAAGACCATTTTTCAAAGGTGTCATCATTTGGAATTTATACTCTTTGAAAATGAATCCTGCCTTTACAAGCCTATGGCACCTCTGTAGCATATCCACTTGCATCACTACAGCTGTCTCTGCTTTTACAAACTAGTTGTTTTGTCAGCATGAGTGTGACAACAATTAGACGTCCCCTGTTTTTGCCCCATGCCTTTTCTCCTTCACAGTCATTCAATGACAAGCGTAAAAAGAGCTTCATCTTTTCACGAAAATTCCCATTCTACAAGAACAAGGAGCAGAGTGAGCAGGAAACCAGTGATCCTGAACGTAAGTAGATTCTCGGAGATAATGTCACATGCAACACAAGAGAAAAAAACTTCCTTCACACATGATATAGGCTCTCCCACACCACACACCTAGGCCAAAAAAAAAAGAAAGAAAAAAAGAAAAACACGGCAGGCAGGCAGGACAGGTCTTACTACTGTGACCAGTGTTTGTCCACAGTCTGGATCCTTCCCTTCACAGAGCTCTTTGCAGAGTATACTGGAGAGGGAGTTGCCAAAGCTGGGGCTTTGCTGCCAACCAATACTTATCTGTGACCAGGAATGGGTCTGGTTTGCCTTTTCTCTCATGCCACTCTCTAGGGCTTGACACAAATTTCTTTTCTGGGCAGAAATACTGGATTCCATCACCACACATGTATTTTTGGAATGCTAGCTAATTGGAGTGACTAAATTACTTTGATTGATTACTGGCACATTGGCTCACTCTTTCCCTCTCAATAAACACTAAATACTTGCTCAATAGTGGGCTTGTATTGGTGGATACTAAGTTGCAAAATTTAGAAGAGATCATTCCTTTAAGTGGAACATTTATGTGGCAATATTGGCAGCAAAAATGGCATCTGCAAGTCTTTCTTGCTTTTTCTTTTTTTTTTTTTTACAGTTTTCTACTTAAACCTTTCAAGTTGCTTTACAAATCAGAAACTTCCTTAAGTCTCAGTCCAGGGAGTTTGGGGTAGTTGTTTCAGAAGAAGACAGTGGGATCCAGATTGTGTAGGCAACACGGTCTGTCATGGTAGTATCCGTTTCAACTCCACTGACTTCTCCTTCCTCTTCCGTGGCTGTTCTTCCTCTCTCATTGCTCTCTCTGGGGACTTCCATGCAGGACATCCCCGGATTAGGTGACGACGGTTATGGAACAAAGACTCTGAGTAAGTTGCCAGGAATGGTCACTGTAACTTTTCTTTTCCTTTCCTTTTGAGTTTGGCTTTTGTTCCTTTTCTTGAGGGCCTTTCACTCCTAGCATGCACAAGATACAAGTTTTATTTGTTACCTAGCTGTGAATGCTCCTACAAAATAATTTTCAATCGTTTTGTTCTGCATGTCAGCATTTAAAAGCAAAGTGTGTCAGGCACTCTAACTTCTGCTGCAGTTAACACTTTCCCTTTCTGACCATGTGACACAGCCAACATGGTCCTGGTGCCCACCATAGCATCACTTGCTCTCTGCCTATTTCCTCCCAGTGAGCAAGAAACCATGTTGCGAGAAAGGGTGAGCTAAATATTCTAGAATCGCAAAGTAGAAATATAGTTTATGTGCTTTCCTCTGCCTTTTCACATGAAAATATTTAATGACTTTGCCAAATTCTATAATTAAGTTGTATTTTGCTATTGGTAAAGGAGCTATTGCATAATCAAAAGGAACATGCATTCTAAAAAGTAAATAATCTATTTGACCTTCCATGAATAATTGTTACTGACTTTGATTGACTTTTTCTCTGACTTGCAGTGATCCTGCTTGAAACGTTTGTATAATAAAGCTTTAAATATTTATTAATATCATTTTTCTATCAGTGATTTATTAGTTCCATTATGTAATCAAGACTTCATTTTGTAGTACAGAATGAAAAATAAAGTACATTAGACCTTTATATTTTCTAGTTATTCATGTCTTTGGTCTGTGTCTCATTGCACTGACTGAGCAAATTTAAATTAACTATCCTGTGATTTTTCTTTCTTTAACACTAACCTCATTGTGTAGGTACCAGTGAAATAACAGAATTTTGTGTCTTTTGCAATTGTATCACATTGTTCAACTTTGTTTTGTTTTAACAGATATGGATATTTTTAGAAGCTATTCATTTCATTTTATAAAACAAAATAGCATTGAACTGAACTTAGTTTTCAAAGGCTGTTTATATAACCTTGAATAATGACACCTTTCATAATTCAAGTTACTGATTTTTTTTAAAGAAACTGTATATATAGAAAACAAAATCTGATCAAGAGTACTGATCTCTTTAAAGATGAAAGCTTTATCTTTGAGTCATTACATAAAATACATGAAATTTGTCTTTAACCAGGGGCTGGACTTCAAATACCTATTTCAACATTATTGGCATAGCATAAAGCACCATCAGAGAGAATTTGTACATTTTAAACTTGGAAAGGAAAAGAGGTTTTTCATTTCGATATTTTTAATATTTTTAATATCAGTATAAAGAATTTGCTGTTACAGTGTCAAAATAGGAGTGATGCCCTTTTAAATCCAGAACATCCACATTTATTTACTCTTTAAAAACTGAAGAGATTAAATAATAGATTGAATAAAAGAAAAAAACAAAAAAATCCTGTCATTCCTAATTCAAAGTACTTAAGATGGTAATGTACATGAAGGTACACTATTGTTGGCTGTATGTCTTGACTGTGTTTTCAGTGATAGAAAACAGACTGTACAGATTCATCTCCATTCCTTTATTCCTTTCCCTTAATCCCCTTTGCTTCTGTAAAATGTGTGGCCAAATTTGTAGTACAGCTCTATTCATAGACCAACACAAAGAGCAATGATTTGTATGAATTTAACTCATGCTTTGGTTTTCATTAGTTTTATGATCTAAAACTAATTCACTCAGCTGGCAAAAATGTATGACATCAAAGCATTTTAAAGCAATTTTTATACTATTAGAGAACAGTGTTGTATTCTTTTAAAAATATGAAGTTATTGCCAGTAAGATTCAGAAATCAAATAATCGCATAATTCATTTAGCTAAAATGATATATGAATAAACTGAGGGGTTGATGATCTATAAATTAACAAATAGAGATGAAAATGACTTTGGAAATTAAAGTTCCAATTCTGGCATACAACTAATGTATATATCACTGTTATGTTAGGCTGAGTTGTGTTTGTATTTTTAAAATATCAGGAATGTTATGTAGAGGAAAGTCATTTAGAATGAATTAAAAACCTTCCCAGAGCCTGTGCTGGGTATCAGTCCATTTATCCTCTGCCTGTTTCATCCCTCTAGGGTCCAATTGCTATCCAAGCAAGTATCTTAATAGAAAAACATGATTCATGAAACATTTCCTCCTCTAAGATTTTCTGCTCATTCACTGAAGCAGGAAAGATCTTTAAGAATCCCTTTTAATCCTGAGAATTTTACAAAGTATTTAAACAAATAAAATTAAAAGTGTTCCAGGGGTCAATTAGTGACTTGACATGAAGTGTTCCTGAAAATTAATTAAAGACTAAAATGGAAAAACAGAAAAGCCTACAAGAAAACAGTCCCTACCAACCAGAATCTCCTCAATTTATGGTTAAGAAACACTCAGTTATGACACAGTGGCCTTTGTAAGATGAACTTGAAAATCACAGTCATAAGAATGGGTCATAGTGTTTATAAAAAGAAAATTTCCTGATTGACTTTTTAAAATTAAATATACTACTTGAATTATTTGCTAAAAAGAAGAATAATCAAGCGGAAGGTTCCTGCAAAAATGCTGATAAAGTTTTCATCTTCTGTATCTTATCCAAATTTTAACGCAAACTTTTCTGCTGCCTTTTACTTGCCTTTTGCTCACATTTCTAGTAGCCTTGCATGAGTGTACTCCTTTCAGTTTTGGCTGCTTTCCAATGCTTGGTATCTCTTTAATTTGCTGTGCTGTTCTTGCAGAACATGTTTCTTCTAATGCCAGCGATAGCGAAAGTAGCTACCGTAAGTTATTGCTTTGGTTTGCCATTCTTTTCTTTGCAATTGCCCCATTGCCTGTGGTGGTCATTTCAGATTTTTGTTGTTGTTTTTCAATTGCTGCCTTTTATCATTCTTATCCAAAGCAAATGGCTTGAAATAAAATCAGCATTTGATGTGGAGAGATACAAAAGTCACTAGGACCATCAGTAGACCCTTACTTGATTTGTTCAAACATTAGCAGTCTTACTAATGTCAATTGCAACCTCAGCTGGTTGTGACCCAGTGATTCAATTTTCACAAGAAAGGTGCAGGAGAAGTTCAACAACGTGGTGAATTTTGACATTCTAGCTCCCAAAACAATTTAAACTCCCTGCAGGAGGGTAGAAACTTCATCATGATTTTATTTTCCTTCTCATTTTGCCTTTTCCTTTCGGTTCCTGGTTCCCCTTTACAAGAAGAAGCTATATAAACTACAATGTTTCATATTTTAAGGTAGATACATATCTACATATCTAATTTTATTTGGGGAATGTCTGGGAAACTGATATAAAAAATTTTATCCTCTGATGTTGAAGGAACTCCTCCTCTCCCCACACCCTTTTCTTTGAAAAAGCGAACAAAATTTGTTGGGTCAGAAAACTTAACTGAAAAGGTAGGTAACTTTAAAAATTCTTTCTGGTATTTCTTTGGTTACCTCAAGCCATTTGCTTATTGTATGGAAATATTCACCAAACACCAAGCACATCCTTTTGATCAGTTCTCGTGGTTTCTTACCACCTATTTACTGGTTTTGGTGACTAATATAGGTACCTATTATCATTGGAATCCTTATGAATTCTATAATATTAATTTGTATTACTTAGTGAAATGGGTTACCCAAAAAGTAATTGCCAAGTGTAGTAGAAAACCTGTAGTTCAATACATGACCAACAGCAACCAAGGCAGAAATTGGTTTCATCTTTTGCCTGAATATTGTACTAATTGAAAAGTAAATTATGTTGGGTATTTTTCCTGTTATAGCATAATACTTTATAAAACCATGCTTTTTTGAGGTGGAGTGCCAAATAGTGTTCTTGGAGTATGGTAAATGTAATTTGGATTTTGAGGAAAGTCAGATTGGTGGAAAGGAGGAAAGATGGCAGGCAGAAACCAGAAGAGGAAGATGAGACAAACCAAAGAATGAAATAATAAAATTGTAATGAATCACCCAATTTTCTGATCAATAGAAGGGTTATATTTAAAGAATTTCATCAAGTCTTACTGATTAAAGAATTAGAGAGTTCTTGTTCTCAACATGGTTTTTTTGGTTTTTTTCTCTTTTTCGGTACCGGGCATCGAACTCAGGACCTTGTGCTTGCCAGGCAGGCGCGGTGCCACTGAGCTAAATCCCTGACTCTTGGCATGGTTTCTTAACATTATTACATTATTCCTGCTCTTAAAATTTTATGATTAACCTAACTTCAGAGGAAAAAATTGCCTCTGCCATTTTCATATGACTTTAAACCAAGAAAGGAGGTCAAGAATAAGTGACCAAAGCTTGTCTTTCTGACTCCTGAGCTATTCTCAATTTAGTATGCATAAAAATATAACTTATTTGTTGGGTTTTAGGTAGGCCAATGACACTAATTTCTATTAGAATTTGGACATCTGCTGCATGATTCAAACCCTATAGAATTATTTTCCCAAGTCCAACTATATCGAGTGGCAACTAAAATGCAGTTAATTACAATGCACATTGTCCAGTTATGCAAAAATACCACCCCAAAACTATCTGAATGATTGGCCTGTACTGGGGATGCTAATTACTAAGCAGATATAAAATGGGGATCAGGTAAACCTCGACAGCTAAAGATCTGCCTTCTTGAATCTCAGCAAAGGTCTTCAGACATTATACTTAAAACTCAGTGGTATTTGTTGTTTAGTTGAATTTTCAAACTAAGGATCTTAAAGGAAAATAACATTGAGATAAGAACCAAGACCTCTCCCCATATTCTTCTCCTTAGCACTCTTGTCAAATGTCACCTTTCAATATCTTTCTAAACCAATTTTTCATCTACTCTCTCACTTGATTTCTACAATAAATCTATTAGACATATCTTCCATTAATAGCCCATTTTCATAGGAGGAAGCTGAAGCTCCAAGAGGCTGTCTCACCAATAAGTAGTAGCACTGCAATTTCAATCAAAGCCTTTTAAGGCTGAATCCTATATACTTTTCACTCTTTCTTATCATTTGTAATCCAAACCTCTTGATGTTTTATCTAGTATATCTTAACCATTCCATACTACCCACCAAATTAATACAATCAAGTTTTATATAGTATTAACTATATATCAAGCTTGAGTGTAAGAGCTTTAATAAATCATTTAATCTTCTGAACATCCTGTGGAAACAATCTCTAACCTTGTAAAAATTACCCAGAGTCTCAGTTCTCCCTTATGTAAACCAAGTATCTTGGATTAGATCTGAGACAGAAAATAGACTTCAACTCTGACCAATCAGTATCAGCTGTCTGAAGAATGATCTTGAAAAGTATTCCTAGGGCATGCCAAGTCTCAGCAGTAATGGGGGCAATGATCAGTCTGTGATGCCTGTCAGGAGTACAGAGTAGGGGTGGAACAACACGCCCTACTACAGACTTGTCATCTGCGAAGTACTGGAACACCAGAGCCTTTTTTAGTACTACCATTGCCTGGTTCTAACAACCTAACTTATTCTTAATAATCATTATATGCAGGCAGGCTGCAGAAACTAAATTGAGACTACCGCTGGTCTTCACTTCTCTCCTCTTTGTTTCCAAGAATTCCTAAAGAACAGCAACTCACTTTTCTCAGTCCTGAAGGCTTATTAGGGCCTTATTCCAGATATGTCTCACTGTGGCTTTGCTTCTAGTTTACACACAAAATGTTTCATGGAGACTGTAACAGAGTCCTCTGCCAAGTCTCTGGAAGCTGCAAACGTCCACACACAGCCCTGCTGCTCGCCCACTTCCAGCCATGTGGTTGCCAAAACAAGACCAAAAAATAGTTTGTACCTTTTTGCCAGCTGTTATTTCTAAATGCCAACCTCTTCTGAGGAAAAAGTAGAAAAACTACTTAGATGACTATTTTATGGAGATGACACAGAAGCATTAAAAAAAAATTTTAAGAGCTGGCATTTACAGATGGGACCATACAGCCTCTCAGTGACTCTGACCTGGCTTCTGCTCACACCCTTTACTCTTTGTAAGCCCTACTCTACCCCTCACAGAATTTCACATCTCTCCTCCTTTTGAGATATATTCAACAGAATCCAAAAAAAGGATGTGATTTTAAATGTTGACTCTACTACTTAGTAGCTGAGGAAACAGGGCTCGTGAACATTTTTGAACTGCTTCTTCCATCTGTAAGAGGAGGGTCATCAGCATTCTTACTCTCTAGAAATGTCTCTGAAAAATAGAAGCCAGAGAATGTGAAAAGTCCCTTAGCACCTGTAAAATACCATAATGATGTGGATTTTCTTTCCTTCATTACAGTAAACTTTTTTCCCTCTCCTCTTGATTTCCTTTCAGTTACTCAACGGGCATTTCATTCTTGAGCCTGAAAGTGAAAATCAATCAGCTCAAGGTGCTGAATTCACAGCTAATATGTGATGCCAGCCTCCCCAGCTTCCCTGCAGGTTCTTAGGTGTTACACAACACCCAGTGTTCACAGTGCCTTGAGGATTAGGTGTGCTTTGACATAAAAGATGTGATCTTTTACTCCCTGCCAGTGCTGATGCTCTGGTCAAAAAACAGTTCCTTGTACAATCACAGAAACAAACCAAAAAGCAATGGATAAGCAAAGAACTGTAGAATTCTCTAATAAAATTAACAAACTCTTTTACATTGATTTTCAGAATCACAAGTTATGCATATTGACATCAAACATCTTATTTAAGTTTTGCCTTTTGAATGTCCCATGAAAATGATTTGCAAGGTTACTGGAAAGATATTCATATGGAAGCATGATGTATTTATTTAGAAAAAACCATTTCTTAAAGTGAAATGACCATGCTGACAAAACACAGAGCAGAACCTATCTTTGGCCTCATTATTCATCCTGTTTTCACAACTGAACTCAGAATGCAGTTTTACTGAACTCTTTCTCTATATTAAGTACTTGCTCAGGCACTAGGTACACAGTGATGAATGAAACTCAGTCTTTGCCTTTATAGATCTCCCCCCAAAAATTGGGTAGACTCAGATATCTCCTGATATTTGAAGATTTTGTTATACTGTGATCAGGATTTTCCCCCTCATATATTAACTATTTCTTGAGGTTCTCCCTGTAAAGTTACACTCTAACATTGCAATATTAGTCTACTATGCATCTATCCCTCAAATGATATTTTCCCCAATAATTTTCACACTTATCTTCTAAATGCTTAAGAGCTCTATCTCAGGCATTAGCAATCAGTCACTTTCTTTGGCCTAGACTGTAAATTTTAGTTTATTCAAATGAAAACTTTCTTTTTTCTAAATTTAAGAAAAAAATGCAAAGCTGACCCTTCTGGAGCAACAATAGATAGATGCCAATTAGGAGAAGCATTAAGACCTATTCTCCGTGTCTTCAGAATATAGTGTGGCGTAGCAGTGCTATTCTGAAATCAAGCCCTCCTTGAAATAGATATACAATGTAACTTAAGCCTGCAGCCACTTCTTACACTTAAAGAAAAGCCCACCCACTCTATGCCACTATGAACACTCCAAGAAAGACATCTGTATTCACCTTTACCCATACTTGTTCAAATCAGTTGCTGTTACCAAAACTATACACGAAATTGATTACTTCCTCGTATGAAATTAACTCACTTTTCCCTCATGCTGGGGCTACAAAAGGGAACGTGGCGTTGGCAGACTGTATGAACATGTCTCAGAGGTAGTGAGCATTTAACCACCTAACAGTTTACCCTGAGCATCACTCAGGCAGTGTATTTGTTTACACAGCATCACTCGGACAGCTGTCATTTCAACTAGTTGATTCTTGTATTGAATAAACTTGATAAAATTGTCATCTTTATACTATCTGTTATATTATAAAAATTAACCAAAAATGCAATTTTTGGTCATCTTGTTTTTAAATAATTGGACTGTTGAGTAGTTAAAGCAATGAGATTATTCACCCTTTGGCTTCAGAAAAGACTGTACATGTTCCATTTCTCCTCCACTATCTCCTGTAGTAGGCATGAAGTCTCACATTTTCACCAGTCCTAACCTGTTTTTCATCAAAGGTTAGGACTAGGTCTACTAAAAATACAGGAGCTTAGCTTTCAGTTTCTGCAGCTCAATTAAGCTAATCCTTTGACGAATTAGTCAACTGGATAAAATAGATGATTGAAAATATAATTGCCAAAGGCCAATTTACTTTCCACGGTTATTTGTTGACTTGAGAGCCACACTGAGTCAGAAGGTTTGCAGCAAATAGCATTGGAGGGGCTGACTCTTTACTACATTAACTCCTCAGCTCTCTTTTGGAAGTTTCAAGGCATCATTTAACAGCAGTTATAACCAACAATGAAGACACTTTTTTTTTAATGCAGGGAATGGAATTTAGAGCTTCACACATGCTAAGCACACAATCTACCACTGAGTTACACCCCCCACTTTCCCTACATTTTTAATCTTCTGTAATTGACTCACAGCGTTTTGCTGATGACTTAATGTTATTGGAGTAAAACCTTTATTATTCCTTGCTAAAATCCTATAATATACAGACATCTGTTTTTGAGCAATGTGCTTTGTAAGGAAATAAAATAGACAAAATAAAAGAACAGAAAGTCTGATTAGATAGCAACCTAATTCATCTAGTAGTAACTACTGGATGGACCTTTTCCTTGAACTGAATGGCTTTACTTTAGGTGGTACCACTTGGTGTAGAAGCATGGCACTCCACTTCTAATGTCAGACAGAAAGCAGTCTAACAGGTCATTGCTCTGCAGCAGATAGCTAGCAACCAGTTATTAGAGTTATGACTCTTGGTATATGATAACCTGACACAAAATAGTTATGAGGTTGAAGGAATTTTTGAATGGTTCAAGGAGAGAGAGAGCAAAAAAAATTTAACCCTGAACTGTCTGTTCCTGTATTTCAGAGCAGGGATTATAGCTTTAGGGCATCACTGATGGTTAGTTGACTATAATTTTCCTTTCTTCTCTTCTCAGGGGGGCAAGAAGACCTCATTCTTTCCTACGAGCCTGTCACAAGGCAGGAAAGTAAGTTTCTCAGCATGTCTGGGGTTCCTGATTGCCAGGTCATAGCAGGTGACATTGCTGAAGAAGGAAAGGAGTAAAGGACTAAAAAAATAAACTCAGGGCCGGGGATTTAGCTCAATGGTTCCGGCGCCTGTTTCACAAGCACAAGGTCCTGAGTTCGATCCCTGGTATCAAAAACAAACAAAATAAACTCAGCTCAGTGCTCAGTTGTCCCCAGACCATACCCTGCTGTCTTTCTTTGGCCCTGTCACTGCACAAACAGCTTCCCTGCTGAGCCTGGGCAACAGCAGCTCCTTAGAGAACAGAGCCACCCTTTAGATAAGCTACCTGGTAAGAAGGGACACATCCAAATCACCAGAGCCCCAACAATAGGTCTGAGGAGAAATCCTGTGACACTGAAGTCACCCCAGTATTGAGAAAGACTTTTCTGCAGACCTAAGATACAGGCCATCTGCACACTGCTCCAGGAGCTGGCTTCCTTTTCTCTGGAGGCATTTGTACCTAGCCTTTGTGGCTGTTGACAAGGGATATTTCAAGCATCAGATGGGGACTTGCACCAAATGGACTTTAGAGTTCTTTCTATTATTACACACAAAGGAATTGGGGAATTCCTCAGCAGACTATAAAGAATATTTTGAACTGAGGAAAAGAAATTATAAAAACAAAGTGTCATTCCTGCTAACAGTTACTTTTAAACAATGGCCAAATAGCTGGTTTCAATTCTTTTTTTTTTTTCTCCCTCTCAATTGACTGAATTCGGTTGTTTTGACATCATGTAGGCATAACCTGAGAATAAGCAAAACTCTTCCAAATAGTTCCTCTTTGACATACGCTGCAATTGCTTTTCCTTATTAGTAAAGTAGGCACAGCAACATCCTCTGGGCTAAACATACAGTTCCCTGTGCAAGGCTATTTGGATAATTTAGCCATAGTTATAACCTTAGCAGTTCGGTTTTGCAATTTCACCTTAATAACCACACTTGCAGGACAGTTTTCCTGTCATTTCCAAATCTTTCTCCTCACTTGCATTTTCCTTTCCTTATCTGTAGTAAACTATACCCGGCCAGTGATTATCCTGGGCCCCATGAAGGATCGAATCAATGATGATTTGATATCTGAATTTCCTGATAAATTTGGCTCATGCGTGCCTCGTAAGTATCATTGTTCGGGAAAATGCTTGTATCCTTTATGAGCTGATGTACTTCTGTCTCTCCAGTAATCTCCTTTGGGATTAATATAGAATCAGTTATTTACTATCCGAACACCTTACCTAATTTCTGTGCCTCACACTTTTCATCTATGCTGCCATCCATGTATTGTTTTCTATGAGGTAAGTAAGTATAATAATGTTCTCTCTAAACTGACTATTGTCCACTAGAAGGCAGAAGGATCATTGTAAACCCCTTAACATTCAAATCAGCATGGGTTTATGACAGGCATCATATGTTGTTATAGATAGGTTGAAATAACATTTGTAGCATCATTTTTCCATAGAATCTGGGAGATTGGAAACAAACTATATATTAAAACCATTTCAGGTTGATTTAGGACAGTTTATCAATCCCAAACAAAATATCTTTTCCCATGTGTTTTCATAGTTCCAGATCTTAGAAAGATAAGGACAGAAGGCATAAAGTCTATATTCTGATCCTCTAGGCCACTATAGACTGCTTTATTATTATAGACAGTCAGCAGGCCCCCTGGGCCCACTGAGTGTAGGTTGTAAGATGCTGTCTGCTAGACCTCTCCCCCTTCCCACCATGAGCATACTTCTCCACTCACCCCATCCACAGAGACCTTCCATGCATGTAGACAAGCCCACAAGGAAATTTTAAGTTATTAGATAATGAATCTCAAATACGATCCTGACAAATATTTCTCTCACTCTATCTTTTTAAACTTTAGGCTCTCAAGTGTCTCCAACATTTTAGTATGGCCTATTTCACCTAGAATACTAAAGAATATCAGGAATTATGTGTAATACATGGACAAAAAAGGACTAAGATAATTGCTATACAGTATCTCATGAAATGGGTCCAAGCAAATACCCTGGGGAAAAGTCCTGCCATACCACCCATCCTAAAAATGTCTTCAGCTGGGAAGGCTCAAAAAAAGTCTAGGTTGTTGACACCAGCTTCCAGTTTCATCTTCTAATTCTGAGAGAAAGAAAACAGACCTTAAGCATCATCTTCACTTCTCTTCTACCTTGTATATGGTTGTCTTTGTCTTATTTCATTATTTCTCTTATTTCGCCATTTTATGATTATGATTTCAAGTCCTCTACATGTTTCTTGTATAGATCTTGAAATATACTAAAAAAAAAAGTTAAGAAAATAAAAAGGACTCATAATCCCACAAAATATCTGGAAATAACATCACAGATATAATGTTTTGGTAATTTCCATCTATTCTTTTTTTCCAATGCGTGCATTTTTCCAGGATCAAACTTGTAACTGTTTTAAATTATTATAATTAATCATTATTCACATTGTAGATTTTCTCTATTTTTATGGTGAATTATAATAAAATATAATTGCATATTATTTATGTTAACCTAATGAACAGCTTTAAAGATAAAACTGCATCTGAAATTTTGATCTTTTTTTCTTTGTTTTTGGTGGTACTGGAAATTAAGCCCAAGGCCTTGCACATGGTAGGCAAGCCACTGACCTACATCTCCAGTCCTTTTATCATTTTATTCTGAGACAATGTTTTCCTGAATTATACAGCTGGACTCAAATTTGCAATCCTTCTGCCTCAGCTTTCTGAATCCCTGGGGTTACACGTCTCCACCATCATGCCTAGCTTGATCATTTAAAAAGATAGTGTCTTAGAAAAGAAATAACTGAGTCAAGGTTGAAAATATTTTAATGAGGTAGGGGGGCAGTGCTGGGGATTGAACCCAGGGCCTTTTCACTGAGCTACATCCCTCCATCCCCAGCCCTTTTTATATTTTTTATTGTGAGGCCAATTGACCAAGCTGACTTAAAACTTGCAATCCTCCGGCCTTAGCCTCCCAGAGCACTTGGATTATAGGTGTGCACCACTACACTTAGTTTGGAAATATTTTAAATTTTTTTAAATCATATAGCTAGATTGTTTTCTCTTTCTCTTTTTACCAGAACATATAACCAAAATGGTTAAATATGTTGACTTCCAGTCCTACCTTGACTGTGATTTTTTTTATTATGCATATTTTTAAAGCTCTGAATATATTTATAACTGCATGCCCATTTTTTTTTCCTCCTACTTAAGGGACACATTTTCTTGCTTTTTTATGTTGGATTCTTATTTTTTGTTGGATATCATGGTGCTGTACTGTTAAGAGTCTGGATTTTGTTATCTTCCTTTATAGAATAATTTTGATATGGCAAGGAGTAATTTACAGATCAGCTTGTTCCAGTTGCAGTTTGGTTTTAAGTGTTCTAAATGTGGATCTAGAGTAGCTTTCCGTGTGTGTGTGTGTGTGTGTGTGTGTGTGCGCGTGCGCACGCGAGCGTGCACACTTTGAGACCAAGCTTGCCTTATAATTCAGGCTGGTCTGGAACTCCCAGTGAACCTCCTGCCTCAGCTTCACAAGTGCTAGAATTACAGGTGTATGCCAACACACCCAGCTAAAATAGCTTTCAAAAATGTGGATTTTCTGGGGTCTTAATCAAATACTCAGTTCTGGTTAAACTTCAGGGTCTCCTAACACTGTATGATCTCCAGACTCACCACTTGGAAATGGCTCTTGGCAGAGAGGTAGAGTGAATATAGTTTCCCTTGTGTGTTTCTCTCCTCTCAAAATTACTGCTCTGCCATTTTCTGTTGTCTGATACCTGAAAACAGTTGTTCCATACATTTTGTCCACTTTTAGAGTTGTTTATGGTAGGAAAGTGAAATTGATACCTGTTACTATGTTACATCCATATTACATATATCTTATCTGTGTTGAAGGTGTGGTGGAGAAAATAAGTGGGAAGGAAGTTGATGAATAAACATGCATCTCAACTTTATCATTTCTTGTTTCATAAAGATACTACGAGGCCAAAACGTGACTATGAAGTGGATGGCAGAGACTATCACTTTGTCATTTCCAGAGAACAAATGGAGAAAGATATTCAAGAGCACAAATTTATAGAAGCCGGCCAGTACAATGACAACTTATACGGGACCAGTGTGCAGTCTGTGAGATTTGTGGCAGAAAGGGTATGTTTGCCAGGGTTCTTACAACTCCCCTGAAGAAGCTTTCTGGATGGCTAACTATGTTTTTTTGGTCATTACTCCTTCCTGATTACAACTGTAAATTTTGATTAAATATTTCATTTAAGATACCCAAGCAGAGAATCATCTTAGAACAGAATCATTAATCTTTTTTCTAATCTCACTAAACTATTCTGACTGACTTTGAGAAAGGGTGGAAGAAGGGAACCTGTAATCCTAAGTCCGTTAACAATCTGAAGTTTCTGGGGATTCACTTTGCTCTTGACTTGCTATCTGAGGCTACAGTCAATAAAATTGAACTTATTAAGGAAGTTTTGTTACTCTCTGTTGTCTAGATAGGTTGTGTTCTAAGGAGTTACTCTTTCTCTTTGAAAACTTAACACCTTTGAGGTGCAGGGGGACACAGACGACTCTGTAGCTGCCAGAAGTTCCAATTTAGAAGAGGCGTTATCACTGCAATTTCCTTCTTCCTGACAATTTCAGAGGAATGGGAAAGTGGAGACTGTTTAAGAGAGAATGGTTTAGGAAGGAACAGGACTGTGGCTTTAAAATCTGCCTTTAGAGATCTTATCTCCAGTAAGAATATGGAGCCAATGTCACAGGAGAAACTGTTTATTGCGTTTATTTAGTCTGAGATCACCCTTTTCCCCCATATGATGTGCTGATAAAAGATTAAAAAATAAATTTTGCTGAGAGGAAACAATGGCTGAATAGAAGGTCCCAGGACTCACCTCTTCCTCTAAAAAGAAGAACAAAAGTACTGGGTATAAAGCTACATTTTGAGGTGAGTGATAGTAGAAGACTATTAGAAATCAGCAAGAGAGAGACTGAAACTTTATAAGATTCAGAGACCTGGGATGGGACAGTAGCATAGAAACACAAACAACCTGGAAACTGCAGCCCCAGTTCTTCTCCTGGGACAGTGGAGTTTTGCCTTTGAATGAGTAAGAATGAAAAGGTTACAGCAAACTATCAGGGCTGCTGTTAGCAATCCTAGCTACTGGAAGATGTCAAAATCCTCACAGGATTCCAGCCCACTTAGATAAATAACCTTTGGAAGAGGATTTCACATAATCTCCCAGTGAACAACCAGGATGCTATAGCCAGGAACCAGCATGAGAAATGAGCTCTTGTCTGAAATTAGACTGCTCTAGAGCAGAAACCCTTGCATTCCCATCTCAAGGATCCCACAGACATCCTACTGCATTGATTCAGGGGGTAGCTGCCTTGTGAACATAACAGCTCAGCGGAGTAACTCTGAGCTAAGTCCAGTGGGTATTCCAAGTACAGGGGACAGGTGTTGCCCTCATGAAACCAAGAGATCAGGAGCCTCCTCTCTGACACCAGAGGTTCTAGGACACCAGACATTTCTAGGACTGATGGCAGTCACCAAAGTTGTACCAGCTACCCTCACCCCTTTCACCCTTCACCTTCAGGTACCTATTACTGACAGAGAAGGAAGATAACACCACGCATGGTTCTTTCAGCTGCCCTGGCCACAGTGGTGTGCTGAAGCCTTAAACAACTACATTGCACCTCAACTGTCAACTTGCCTCTGGGCATGCAGGGTTGAGGGGTGGGTGGCAAGAGCAACTCTACCCAGCTTTGTTCATATCCCACTCCTGCTTGGTCTCAGGCAGAAATTAAAACTGAAGGAGTTGAGGGCCGGGGATTTAGCTCAGTGGTTCCGCAGCCTGCCTTGCAAGTGAAAGGTCCCAAGTTCAATCCCAGGTACCAAAAAAAAAACAACTTAAGGAGTTGGAGGAAGAAAAGCCACTACCATCATCCACAACCTAGGCATGCACAGCTATGGTCCTGCTCTCAGGAAATCACTATCACTGAAGCAGAAGAAAGGAATACCACAGTTCCTGGTGCTACTCCACACACACAGTTCCTGCGGCGTCCTGCCACTGCACCTTGTCTGAAAACACCCTGCTATCTAGACTGGCTGTAAGGAGCCACAGGTCGGGTGCTGTGGTTTTCACCAACACCTCTCCCTTTGCAGCATCTGTGGCCTCACCATTCATTGGTAAGAGAAAAAAATGTTTGTGGTTCCTCGCTACTGCTGAAGCCACCAGTGCCAGAGGCCCTTTCTACTGAAAGATCTGGTGCCAATTGTGCCCAAGGAAACCCCTACCACCCAATAGCAGCGCCCACACCCACTGCTTTCTGTACCACAGCTATCTGAATTGTTAAGTACCCCACAGAGACATCTGACTCTACCATGGCACACATTGTGCCCAAAGTCAATACCTACAGCCAAAGTGGGTATAGGAGACTGCGTTATGGTGTCAACTAGAAGCAAAGCCCACACGGGCAATAAACCAATACTGTAAGACACTCTAAAGACACTATACTGGAGAAAGCAGCTTACTACAAATGCCACCTCAGAAAAGTAGCAGACATACCTACTCCACCAGATAAACAAATCTCAATGTAGGAGAATAAGAAACATAAAAGATCAAGGTAATATGATGCCTCCAAAAGAACACAGTAACTCTTTAGCAACAATTGCACAGAAACTGAAGTGGATGTAATGCCTAATTAAAAGAGCATAAAAAAATCAATGAGATCTAGAGAGTACAGATAAACAGTTAAATGAAATTAAGAAAATACAGCATGTAAATGAGAAACTCAGAGAAAAGAGATTTTGAAAAAAAACCAGACAAAAATTTTGGAAATGTTAGAAGTCAAATAAAAAAACATGCTTGAAAGCCTCAATGACAAGATAGATCAAATGGAAGAAAGAATGTCTAAACTTGAGGACAAGTCTTTTGAAATACCCCAAGCAAAAGAATGAAGAAACTATTCAAGACCTGTGGGACTTATTAAATGTACAAATATCTGCATTTTTACAGTACCTGAAAGAAGAAGGGGAAGAAAGTTAAGAAAACCTATTCAATTGAATTATAGTAATAACAACTCTAATTTTGGGAAAGATAAGGGAATCCATATATAGGAAGCTTACAGAACTCAAAACAGACATGACCAGAAAAAATCTTCACCACAGCATATTTATAGTGAAACTGTTAAAAAGACAGAGAAAAATTCTATAGTCTACAAGACAAAAATGCCAAGTTACATTTAAAACCAACCTCATTAGCCTATCAGATTTGTCAGTAGAAACTTGCCAGTCCTGGCGGGGGGGAGTAGAATGATATATTCCAAGTTCTGAAATAAAATAACTACCAACCAAGACTATTATATCCATCAAAGCTGTCCCTCAGAAATGGAGGAGAAATAAAGTCCTTCCAAGACAAGCAAGAACTGAGGGTATTAATGACCACCACACCAACCTGAAAAAAATGTGACTGAAGAACTCTTACATTCAGAAGTTTAATATCACTAACATTATGACAGTATAAATCACCCCAGAAGAGTAGAAACATAAGAGAAAGAATCAAATCAGCAAAGCACAAATATGAACAAAAGAAGAACAAAAATTATTCAAAAAAACAAGAAAATCAACAAAACAAGAATAAGTCCTTATTAACAACATTGAATATAAATACATTAAATTCTCCAATTAAAACATTCAGCCTGGCTGAATGGATTTAAAGAGAAAAACTCATCAATATGCTGCCTATAAGAAAGTCACTTCACCACTTAATACACACATAGACTGAAAGTGAACAAATAGATGATGATATCCCACACAAATGGAAATGTAAAACAAGAAAGAGCAGCTATGCTTATTTCTGACAAAATAGATTTTAAGACAAAACTGAAAAGAAACAAATAAGATTACTATAATAATGACCAAGGGATCAATTCAACAAGAGGATATGATGATTATAAATATATATGTATCTAATATTGCAGAACCTAACTTTGTAAAATAAACAATATTAGACCTAATGGGAGAATTAGACACCAGTACAATAATAGGAAGGGATTTCAATACCCCACTTTCATCAATGGGCAGATCATCCAGACTCCCCCAAAAAATTCAACAAAGAATCATCAAAGTTAAACTATACTACAAATCAAAGGGACTTCATATTTACAGAACGTTCCATCCAATAGTGGCAGTATACACATTCTTTTTATCAGCACATAGAACATTCTCTAAAATAAATAATGTATGTCTTAAATTCAAAAAAAGTAAAATCATATCTATTCTGATTACAATGGAACAAAACTAAGTCAACAACAAAATAAATTTTAGAAACTACAGAAATACATGGAGACAAAACAACATACTTTTGAATGGGAAAAGTTAGGAGGGAAATTTAAAATATTGTCAAAATAAATGAAAATGGAAACACAACATAGCCAAATTTATGGGATTCAGCAAAAGCAGTACCAAGTGAAATTTATAGCAGTAAGCACCTACATCAAAAATGTAGAAAGATTTCAAATAAATAACCTCATTGTGCATCTCAAGGATTTAGAAAAGCAAGAATAAACCAATGCCAATTGGCAGAGGGAAAGAAATAAAGATCAGAGCAAAATAGAGTCTCTAGAAACAGACACTAAAGCACACACACACAAGATCATAAATAGACTTGATTTTTTATAAGATTTTTTAAAAAGGACAAACCTTTAAATAAGCTCACCAGGAAAAAAAAAGAGGGGACCCAAATACATAAAATCAGAGATGAGAAAGGGGACATTACAACTGATACCATGGTAATACAAGGGATCATTAGAGATTATTATGAAAACTACATGCTAACAGAAAAATTCAGAAGATATTAGACAAGTTTCCAGACACACATGGCCTATCACAACTGAACCATGAACACATAAAAATCCTGAATCAGTAACAATGGTACTAAATCAGTAATTAAAAGTTTCCCAGCAAATCAAAGCTCAGGCTCATTGGACTTTACTGCTACATTTATTAACCTCCTAAAGAACTAATATTAATCCTTCTCAGACTATCCCATAGAATTAAAGGGGAGAGAACTCCTCCAAATTTACTCCTCCAAATGTAGTCACCATTTGTTGTGATTACCAAACCAGAGAAGGACACAACAAAAGAACATTATAGAAAATCCTTGACACACATAGATGCAGAAATTCTCATCAAAAGTATTAGCAAATCTGCCAAATGTAATGTATGCCTCTTTTAGCTACTTGAGAGGCTGAGGCAGGATGATCACTTCAGCCTACAAGTTAAAGATCAACCAGGGCAATATAGTGAGACCTTGTTTCCAAAACAAATAAAAACTAGTAAACTTAACACACATCAAAAAAGTCATTCAGTGTTCATTCCAAGCTGGTTTTATAGAAGGATCATACTGAAAAATAATAAAGGATATATATTTATGATAAACCCATAGCCAGTATCGTACTGAAAAGGAAAAACCTGGCAGCAGTTCCTCTAAAATCAGGAATAAGGCAAGGGCCAGGGATGTAGCTCAGTGGCATCACGCCTGCCTGGCAATCACAAGGTCCTGAGATCAATCCCCAGTACTGGAAAATCAGGAATAAGACATGGATGTCTACTCTCAGTGCCCTCATTCAATATAGTACACTGAGGAATTAGGCAAGAAAAAGAAATAAAATCATTAAAAATGGGAAGAGAATAAATCAAATTATTTCTCTTACACATAATTTTATAAATAGAAAAATGTAAAGACTCCACCAACTGAAAAACAAATTCACTAAAATAGCAGGATATAAAATCAATACACAAAAATCAGCAGCTTTTTTATGCATCTATAATGAATTTGCTGAGAATGAAATCATGAAAGCAACTCTATTTGCAATAGCTACATAAAAAATGAAATACATAGGCACAAATTTAACTGAGGTAGGAAAAGACCTCTCCAGTGAAAGAATTAATTTGTTAAAACATCCATACTACCCAAAGAAATCTACAGATTCAATACAGTTCCCATCACAATACCAGTTCCCATCACAATACTATGTACTGGTGCTTTACAGTACTTCATAGAACTAGAAAAAAAATTCATATGGAAACACAAAAGACTTCAAATAGCCAAAGTAATCTTGAACAAAAAAACAAATCTGGAGGCATCCCAGAACCTAATTTTCAGACATACTAGAGCCATAATAACTAAAATGGTATGGCATTTGACATAAAACAGAGACATTTTGACCATTCTTTCAGAATTAACCCCATATTTTTCTTCTCTTTCTACCAGGGCAAACACTGTATACTTGATGTATCAGGAAATGCTATCAAGCGGTTACAAGTTGCCCAGCTCTATCCCATTGCCATCTTTATAAAGCCCAAGTCTCTGGAACCTCTGATGTAAGTAAAGGGGACTGGAGCGCCTCATCCAGCTCATGCCTTTTTCCATATTACACAGCAAACTGTCAATAGGTCTTTGTCACAAATGCTTACAAATAGGAAATGCCATTGTTAATTTTTAAACATTCCATTTTTTGAAAATATAAATTTTTGCACTTAGGGATATAAGTTATTCATTAAAATATCTTCACTGATATTTTTGTTTTGTTTCGTTTGTGGTACCAGGTATCAAACTCAGGACCTCGCACTTCCAAGGCAGGCAGTGGAACCACTGAGCTAAATCCTCAGCCTTTCACTGATGTTTCTTGATTCTTATTTCACTAGTTGTTTTTAGTTTTGATTCTTTGTTGTTTTGTGAGTAGCTTGGTTTGATTTGGGGGGTTTTGTTTTGTTATGTGGTTTGGGTTTTTGTGGGGTTTTTGGTTTTTGTTTTTTTAGTTTGGTTTTCCAAACAGTAAGAGACAAGTCTTCTTTGAATTATCTCTTACTTCTGGGACCAATTTAATAGGTAAATCTCTTTTTAAACAGGTGGATTTTTTAATAGAGGGAGTGGACAATATTTTAGTCTTTTTCCCTCAGCATTTTACTTTGTCATGTAATAGAATTCTGATAAAAACAGGAAATTTTATGACTCAGATTTTTCTTATTTTCCTTCCTTCAAAAATTAGTAAACAAGGGGCCAGGGGTTTAGCTCAGTGGTGCCACCGCCTGCCTCACAAATGTAAGGTCCCAAGGTTCAATCCCCGGTACCAAAACAAAAAGGTGATAAATCAGTAAACAAACTGAGCAGATATTTATCATTTGACCATAAAGTCATAAAGTCAACGCCCACACAAAGTGAAACTACAGTAGGTAATGGTAGCAGAACAAAGAGGTCACAAGCAGAGATTTGAAAATTGTTTGGGCTAGGTTTGGTTCTTTGCTTTGCCCATGATCAGTTACCATAACTGGGCAAATTGCTTAACCTCCCTGAGACTTAGTTCCTCACCTCTACACTGGAAATTAATAAATACCATAGAGAGCTAATGTAAAGGTTAAACAACAAAGTCATGAATGAGACGTTCTTCAATCTTTGGTAGAATAAATAATAAATAGTTATTACTACTATAAAAGATATAAAGTTATTCTCTTTTAAAGGATTGACGTCATTTTACCTTTATAAAATGCAAAGCAGCACCTTTTCACAAGAATGCCATAGGTAATGCCAGTGTGTCTGTTATTTTAGATTTGCTCAAATACTGCTTCCATTTAGGCCTTAAGAGGGTACTGACAGGGTTCAAAAGTGAACCAGAGGGTATATATTGGAAAACCATGTTCATAGAAGAACCAAAGAAGGGGGAAATTATTTAATCTCAAAGGCAAAACTGAGATATCAGCTACTTGTTCTGTTCTGGTATCTTCTAAGGATGAAAAAGCACAGCTAACTGCAGTAGCTGGAATGGCAGACTGAAAGAATTAAGTTATATACGTATTTGTTCTCTGGGGAAATTGCCAATGATATAAAAGCAGAATATATTCCCATAAATAATTTTATTTCTTAGTCCCTTTTACCAGGATGAGGAAATACAATTGGGAGGTCACTGCTATTACCTTTAAATTTAGGCATTAAATTACACTGAAGTTAGGTATTAAACTATACTAAAGAACTTTTCCCATGATTGGCATTTGAAAACATGTATTGATGATAAAATAATTTAAGTATTATTACCTCCAATAGAATATATTAAACTGTGTTGGGCATTGCACAAAGTGAGTTAAGCAACCGCACATTTCATCAAGTGATTTATAATCTGTAAAGGCTTAGCAAGACCTTGTTTCAAAATAAAATTTAAAAGGGTGAAGTGGCAGAGCACTTGCCTAGAATGTGTGAAGTGATGGATTCAATCCCCAGTAATAATCCCAAAAAGAGCATCTATTTTATATTTGCCCTTGATTTTATGCTTCTCTGAAGAGTCACCTACATAGCACTAATAAGCTACGTGATACAAGTATTAGACGTAATACTAACATTAATAAGAAGAGTAGAAAAATGGCCCTCGCCTCTTGAGAATAGCATCTTAAAGTTCTATTTCAGAAAAATGAGTCTTCACATCATAAATACATAATGAGATAAATGGGTTCCTAAGGAAGGGAGGCCTCAGAGAGCAACAGCAGTGGCACATTTGGTCCAGTAGGATGTTGGGAGTCAGTCCCAACTGGTGCTTAGTAGGAGAGAGCCTACTTCCTTCCACAACTATCAGATGACTTACTTAGTTTTGCTTTCAGGCACTGACACAGCTACTTATCACCAAGGAGAAATTAAACATTCTGAAGGCTGGATTGCACAATGAATCTGACATAATGTGCTGGAGCTTTATCCATGGGTCTCAAGGGCAGCAATGATGACAGTCAGACCAGTGTGATCTCATTACTAATGCTGCATATGTTTACGGTTCACTCTTTTCTGAGGCTTTTTCTTCAGGAGCAGAGTTGGCATGAATTGCCCATTCCCCAGGAAGAAGTGAACGCTAGGTCAGCTGGAACCAAAGCATGGCAGCTGTCACATTTAGACAGTAATACATCATCAAACACATTTCTCAAGTGCAGTGTCCACATCAAACCACAGAGCATATTAGCACATACATAACTGATTCTTCAGAGAAGCATAAAATCAAGGGCATGTATAACAAAGATATGGGGGAGGTTTGTTTTTGATAGTACTAGATACTGAACCCAGGACCTCATGCATGCTAGCTAGGCAAATGCTGTAGCACTAAGCTACATACCCAACACCCACCCCCTTTTTAAAATTTGGTTTGAAGACAAGGTCTTGCCAAGTTGCCATACTGGCATCCAGTTTGCAATCCTCCTGCCTCAGCCTCCTGATGAAATGGGATTATGGGTACATATCACAAACTTGCATGAGAAAATGGGTTGACTAATATCAGGTGTTCTAGACCCCAATCTTTGGCTTTCTACGTGGCATACAAGGCAGTAATGCTTTCAGAAATTCTGCATGCACCTATGAGGCATTCTGATGGGCCAACCAAAATATCTGCATTTGGCTGGACTTTAACACCTAGAGGTCATGGGAGAATAAAGCTACCATTGGTTGAAAATCAGTAAACTGGGTCTTAGAATTAGAGAACTGTCCATTTCTCTCTTACCTTGGTATGTCCTTGAGACTAGGTTAGGTTTAAAATAATCTTACAATGATTAAACATTTATACACAGTTGATAAAGCAGTTGTTGACAGAAAAAGACAGATAGTTCTAGGCATAACTCCTTTACAGCTCATTCTCCTATCATAAACAAAGCAGGTATTAGAGTTTATTTTATTGTTTTGTTTTTGACATATAGTAATTATACATAGCATGGAGTATCACGTGAATTTTTGGCACATGAATAGTGTGTGCAATGATCAGATCAGAGTAACTGGTATATATCACTTTACACCTACATCATTTCTCTATATTAGAAACATAAAAAATTCACTGTATACACTATTTTATAATATCCAATTAATTGTTGCCATGCCATACATATTTCTCCGACTGTGCTTTAGAACATTAGAAATAATTATTTCTATCCAACTGCACCCTTTTGCCTATTAATTATACTAGAAAATATTTTATATCAAGCTCCTTTATCCTGGCTCACTATTTGACTAAGTTACTTTGTTATAGTCTACTTGAAAATATTTTGGTTCTGGCACATTCATTCCATTCTATGTCTATTTTAATTCATTTCTCCATCAGCAGATCTTTCATTTCTCATCTGGTTATAAAAACAGTAGTTCACGGCCCTTGTTGCAATAGGCATGCCTCTACACTTGCAAAAGTTAAATAGCAAGAGCTGCAGCAGAGCAGAACACCTCCTTGGCCTCAGAGATACTAATGGGCCTTCTCTATTTTCTGTAATTCTTTGGAAAATGTGCATAGAGGGTAAACTGTATCCCTTGGGGAACAGGAAGAAGGCAAGAAATTAGAGCTTTTTGCAAAATCAGTGCCTGAGAGAACAGGCAAGTCTAGTCTCTCAGATGTGACAAGGCCCAGGGAGCCAAGATATACTTACCTTTCCTTCTGTCCCTCTTCCTGCCTCTGACCATCTCTGGAACATTTCCTTCAATTCTATGTCCCACATTTAAGACAGGATAAAATATGCTAGAATAAAATCTCATGAAGTTATGCAGGAGAGTTTGAATTTAGAAAGCATATCTCATAAGAGAATAAAGAAATAGGACCATTTATGCTAGAAAAGTAGAAGCCTCAAGGGACAGATGAGCACTCAAGGGGCAGGTGAGCAAATACCCTAGAGCCTGCCATGGAGGAAGCTTAGCCCTACTCCAGGGCACTGCAGGGGACAAAAGAGGAACCAGACCAGACCAGTAAATCCTACAGAGATAGATTCAGCTTTGGTCCAATGGGGCCCTCGAGAAAGCTCCCTGGCAGCTAGAACTGGTCCAACAAAGTGGAGTCCTAAATAAAGGCTCGGAAACTACAGATAAGATTAAACTATTCCTCCTTTGGATTCTGTTTTGGCATGCATTTTCATTTTTAAAGATTTGGTATGTTCCTTTTGTGTTCTAAAACCAAAACTCTCATTTTCCCAGGGAGATGAATAAGCGTCTAACAGAGGAACAAGCCAAGAAAACTTATGATCGAGCAATTAAGCTAGAGCAAGAATTTGGAGAATATTTTACAGGTAAGTTCTCCTTAGCCTGGTATTATGAGGAAGGCGATAAATTGTCTGATATTTCGCATAGAGAGGACTCCAGGCCTGGTAAAATCTCCCTGTTGAGAATCCCTAATATTTGTTTTATGTATCTGTGTTCTGCCTCACCTATTTGATTCAGAGCTCTGGGTTCTCTCTCCTCTGAGTTCAGATTCAGCGAGTTCCCAGGTTCCCTCTGACCTGACCAAAAACCATGAGTGGCAGATGCCCCTGAATTATCTCCTGCTATTAAGGAGATTTTAGGCATTGCTATCTCGTTAAACTATCTCCCCGATAGCAACAGAAATCTTGAAAATAAGCTGTTAGGGCTCAAGACGGCAGTGTCCAGAGCAGGTGGTCTTGAGCAGCAATCTCAGGGCCTTCATTCTCAGCCTGGACAAACTTGAGTCTGTCTTCCCATCAGTAACACTTGAACCACACGCACTCTCCTGTGTTTTAGTTAATTCTATGAGAAGTCTCAATGCAAAACTTTTTATTTCCTTTTTAAATGTTTCTTGGGAAACATGAAGATTGGGAATAAAAGAATAATTTGTTTTTTGGATATCCTGATCTCTCTATTCATGGAACACTGATTAAACCCAGACATTAACCAAACTTTGTGGAATTTGCCTTACAAGTGATTTTTCACTGGTTTAAAAACAAGAACTTTCCTCCTGAATTATCTGGTATCAAATTAAATATTTTATTTTTATCTTACTCAGAATATGGAAAATGTCAATGGCATAGCAGTTTGTAAATATTTTTAATTGGATAATGTTAGAGATTCTAATAACTAAAATGCAAGTTACGGTTTATCTCAAAAGAACATCCAGGTAGGAAAATCAAAACAATGTATATTCTGACCAGTGATTTATATTCAGGAATATTATAACTGATATAGTCTGAGGACAGTTTTTGAAAACCTAAACAATGTTTCAATAGCAATTTATTTCTAAGCTTTAGAGTTATGAACAGTACCGACATATTTTGGAGATCTACCTACAACATAGCTTTTGTTCAATAGAGATAATGTACTTAAATCTATTCCAAGTGCTTTGGTGTATTAGCTAATTCACAATTTAGCAGTTTATGCTTCCATTTATATATGTTTCTTACAAGTAGTACCCCTCAGGTATTCTCAGTATAAACAGCTCTATATGGTAAAATCTCAATTTACCAGATTAGTTAGAGGATAAATGGGATAATTTCCTCTTAATGGTTTTTGGGATTAGAGGTATTAACTAAGTTTCCTCTAAAACCCTTTATTATTTCCTCTATCTAAACTTCTGTCTCTGCCAAAAAATAAGCAAAGCATAGAGACTTTATGGACAGCTCTCTACTAAACAGGGAGCTCCCAACCTGAAAACTGGTCAGTGCTTTCTGCCTGTCTCAAAATAGGCACCCACAAAATAGTTGTTAAATAAATGAATTATGCATTGTCTACAACTACAAACAGATGTACAAAGTACAAAGACTGTGATATATTTATTACTGATCTAGGACATGCACTGGAAGCATTTTTTAAAAATCACTGATATGACCTTGCTTATGTGAATTTTCTGCTCTAAGGAAAAGTGAGAGTAAGCTTCCCAATGAGTTGTCTGTCACTGATATGAGTGTTCGTTGTAGGAGTGCTAACTGTTCTTCACCAGCCAGGCAATGATGCCTGACTCTGGGTTTGTTTGCTTTTGTTACAGCTATTGTCCAAGGAGACACCTTAGAAGATATATATAACCAATGCAAGCTTGTTATTGAAGAGCAATCTGGGCCTTTCATCTGGATTCCCTCAAAGGAAAAGTTATAATTTAGCTACTGCGTCTCTGACAATGACAGAAGAGCATTTAGAAGAACAAAATATATATAATATACTACTTGGAGGCTTTTATGTTTTTGTTGCATTTATGTTTTTGCAGTCAATGTGAATTCTTATGAATGTACAACACAAACTGTGTGAAGCCATGAAGGAAACGGAGGGGCCACAGGGTGGGACAGAAAAGACATTGCAGTACGCAGAAAGGCTACGATTTGCTCAGAGTTCCAGGTGTAGGGATGAACCTCTGACAGGCTTTCTGCCCAAGACATGGGCAATCTCCTCACCCCAGCAGATGTCCAGAGCTGATTTAGCTGCTGAGCTCTCTGTGTTTTTTGCTTTAAGAAAAGTTGCCAGCACTCGAACCTCACCAACCTTACCATTACCCACATCTATAATTGGTACACTTTGAATTTTATAACTATGCACATCCTTTGATTTCTTAACAAGCAAAGGAAACAAGGAAAAAGAAAGGAGTCCTTTTGGAGACAACATACTATCAGGGAAGGATATTTGTGTAGTTGCATTGACTGGCATCTCCAAAAATGAGCATTTCATAAAATTCACAAGTGTATGGAGACTAACCTTACTGAGAGGAGGGGATTCTACCTGGGGTTAGCTTTATGATTGTTGATTGTCTATTTTGCCATTTATAAAATGAAAGAAGGCACTAAAGATGAGAATAATTTATACAATAAAAATATATTAAATGTATAGAAACAATTTCTATAGGTTAAAAAAGTTTTGTGAAACATTTTGTAAAGACTAATTAACTGAAAGATTTAATGTATGCACTATCAGCAGATGATCAAATTCAAGAAATGAAAGTTGCACTCTCCTTTTTGTTGCCAATGATCCATTAACAGCATCTAAGTTCCTTCCAAGTCTGACACAGACTTCTCCCTCACTTATCTCCCATGATCTCCCTTGCGCACTAGCAACACACTCTTACAGAGCACATCCCTTAATGAGTTGCCCTCATGGATATTTTTGGAAGACATTTGGTTAATGCATTTTTAAACTGATGGCTCTTTAGACATAAATTCATGCAATGACTTAAAGGAAATTTTTGTTTTTCTCTGATTAAATAACCTGGCCCTACCATGCAGATAGTTTGATAACTTTGTTTCTAGTAACTTGCATAAAATTCTTAAAGGATCATTTAGTATTCTGGCCAACTATGAGTAATTAGAATCATTCTTTTTTTGTTCCACAGAGTAGAGAGCTTTGTAATATCCAGAGTTGGTATTAGAGCCACAGGAGATCTGTCCCAAGATGTACTGTATCTTTGAGGAAAAGAGAGAAAAGTATTTAGTTGGGGGGTGAGGGGTGCAGACTTTTTGTTTCAGGCTATAGAGCAAAGAGAACCATAAAGAAAGACAATTTATGACTTTTGAGCTCAACCGATGGAATTGCCTTCCTCAAGGCTGCACCTGGACCAAGTTTATTTTTTAACAATTATAATGATGAGTCAAAAAAGAAACCTCCTAAAGCCTATAAACTGAAACAGAACAGTAAGTTTCCCACTTTAGAGCTGATAGTGACATCAGCATTGGTTTTGCCCAAGATGTTAAAGAGAGACTTTTCAGTGATATTAATAACCACTCAATTCTGGGTTTTATACATTCCCAGATTAAGCCCCATCGCCTTATTTCTGGGGTACACCAAGACCTGGCAGGGATTCTGCCACACTGTGCAGCAAACCAGCATGTAGGCTGGAGTAGGAGAACAAAAGACAGAGCCATCAGAGTGGGGCTACTTCACAGTGAGAACACTGGAGCTCAAAAATCAGTCTCTTTCCAAAAACAAGGGTTGTTCATCTTACACTACCATTGTCTGCAGTCACCAAAACAAACACAGAAATGCAACATTATGGATCTACCTAAATTCTTGAGACTGCCTTTGCCATGCCAATGGAAGGGCTAGCAGTGCATTTTCCCTCTAATGAAAGCTAAATTTCCAGAGTCCTTAGAGTGCTCAAAATGTTAAAGATGCGTCCATATCTGCAGCTCTCCAATTTCAGGTCAAGGCCAACATTCCTCAGTATTGCTCCCAGTTTTCTGCCACCAGAATGCCATTCCTGATCCCAGCTCTATTTTTAGGCCACCATGATAACTTCTTTGGTTTCTCAACAGAGCATGCAACTGTTTATTTAGAGGACTGTCATTAATGAGTAGACATTTTCTCGGGTCGTGTGACGTGCTTTCCATTTAATAGTATTGCCGTGGCTAAGTACAATCAAATTGAACCACCAACCCTTGGTTTTGTAGTAATATACTTATTTATTTTCCTAGTGTAGATGCTTCCAGATTAGAATCGGCATTTGCACTGATTTTTATGTAGATTTATATAAATATATATACATATATATTTGCTTGAGGAGTCACCAAGCAAATTGGTGAGAGGGTCTTTTCCTATAGAATACACACCTCCATTTGTTGTGTTGTCTTGCGCTTCCCAATGTTGAGGTCTCCGTGGCTCCAGTGAGCTGGTGTATTTTACAGTAAATATGATGACTTGTATGGAAATGGCATGAAAGTTACCCAGATTATATCTGGTGCAAATGTACTTGGAGCCTGGGGCCAGACTGGTGCTAACACTGCAAACTTTGTCCGGAGCTCTCTCCAATCTGAAGGCTTGCTGGGGGCGCAATGTCACCTTCACACGCTGGGCCCTTTCAGAAAAGTGCCAGATCGTGTCACTGGTGCTATTTTTCATGCTCTGGTACAATGTGTAGCACCATGGGGGTCACAGCTTTACCAAAATCTAAATCTAACTTGCCAGCCAATTGCTGGGATATTTGTTTTTTGCTCTCAGCCCACAGGATTTGTCAGCGATTTATTTGCAGGCCTTTTCTTCCAGCCCCAAATTCTTGGGTTGGCTATTCTGCTTGGCAAGTCCATCTTTACGAAGCTGCACTCAGGTGCCTCTGTGAGCTGTCTGAGATCCTACTGCCAGCCCTTTAGGAAACCTGGGCCAGAGGAAAAATCTTTCTTCACACCTCTGGATTTCACCTTTTTTTCTTCTTGTTCTTTTCCATTGCTCTCCTTCTACTTGTGTCTCATTCCATCCCTCTTTTTGGCCCCCTCTTTTTATCTTTCATGAGTTGTGGATTTTTCCCCATAATCCTTTATACCCTCCCCTTTCTTTCTTTGTCCATCTCTCCTTTAGTCTCAGTCTCTTGTTGCTCTGTTTTTTTTCTTTCTCCTTTCCTGTCCTCTCCTCTCTTCCTCCATATCTGACTATCTCCTACATATCCAACTCCTTAATCTTTTTTTTTCTATAAAGGGCTCGTGGCTGATTCAGACAGCATGTCCATACTCTGGACTAATGACAAAAAGATTTGGGGTCACCACTTTACCTACTCAGCCCAGAAAGCAAAGCTGAGCATGAGGCCCTGACCTGGACCAGCTCCAGCAGCCTCCCAGAGCGAGCCTGCACCGCTGCCCTGGCAGCGAGGATGCATGTGCTATGGCTCTGTCGGCACCTGGGCAGCTCTGCCTCAAACCTGGTCCTCCAGGAGCTCACTCCCAACATCACTCAAGGCTCTGAGGACACTTCCTTTCAACACAGGCAGACTCTGGCCCCAATTATTCTGATGGCAAACCTCTTCTCATTAAAGCCATGCCATTGCCTTGGTTTGGAGAGAGATTTTTTTCCTACTTACTTTTTTCCATTTTCATGTGAACCTCCTTTGCTTTTTGGCTGGTGACTGCTCTGGTGAGATTGAATGGACTTGTTGGTGAAATGACATCTCTTTTCCTGTCTTGGTCCTGCCTAAAATTCCTACAAAATTATTTAAGTCAAAGACTCAGACCAGTGTTCCTAAATTTATTGTACTAATTTGTCACTCATAGGGGAAAAAAAAAGATCAATTCCCTAAAGCATGTGGAGTACCTCCGGTGACAACTGATTTGCCAGGAGACTCCCACCAGAAGTCTGTGGATATACATTTTACTTATGTGTATGGGTGGTATATATGGTATGCATATCATGTATACACATATTTCATTAGGTGTGAATGAATGTGGTTGGAAACACACACATACACACCAGTTTGTAAATATCCTTCCTCACTGAAATCTGTGCTTCAGAAATCATTTCTTGTACAGCTGTGCAGTTTCCTGTAGCAGCTGAAGACAAGCTAAGACAGATAATTCAGACAATGATCAGCTAAAAATAAAGTACAGTACTGTATCTCCCTATCAACTCATGAAGACAGACAGCCAAGTGGCAAGGTCAACTCCCAAAGGGATGGCAAACTTTTCTTCTCTCCTTTTTGAATTTGTGTTTCCTAAGTGTGTCTTAACTTCTGAGTGCACCCGGTTGTACCTGTTAGATCCTTTTAATATGACAATTTTGTGCTTCTGACAGGATGTTTCTTCATCGAGCTGCAGTGCAGGATGGGAGATGGGGGAATCGCTCCTTGCCTGGGCTAGAGTTTACAGAGACACTGCACAGCTTACACTCCTGTTAAGTGTAAATATTCAACACTTTCATTCCATTTGTGTAAAAAATAAAGCACACACGATTATAAAATCAAGATGTATATTTCATACTCAGTGTGTCTGTGAATATTTATTGCGTTTCCAGATGTCAGCAGTGGCCCCCATTGTAAAAATGCTTAATAGAGTGTTTATAAACATGTCATAGTTTTATTATAAAATATAAATATTAAAACATTTTATACTTCATAGCAAATTATATTCTCCCAAAGCATAATTTGTCTTATTTCATAAAGAATAGAACTTCTTTCTATTTTTATCAAATTTGTCTGATTTCCGAGCCTAAATGCAGTTAAGGTAGGTTTGCTCTGAGAAATATTGGCACTGTTGAGAAGAACTGAAAGTGGTGTTTTTGCATATTTTTAAATATTTGGTTATCTTCTCATCTACTTTTAATCACAATTTTTACCAAAAGTTACCAGTGTAGTAAAAGATAGGCTTTTAAAGACACATGTATACAGGGAAAAGAAATTTCCCAGTGTCAAAAATGTGAGATTATAGAAAATACTATGAATAATTTTTTTTTCTTACCTGATATCAAAAAAGGCAGTTGGAGGAGGCAGTGTCATTGTATGTCTTTGCTCCCATTATCTATATTGGGATCACAAAATATACCAGCTCCAAAGATCTGAACACACAAGAAATGTCAAGTTTGGGAATTTGGATCTGTCATCCCTAAATTCTTCAAGATAAACAGCTGCTCTGTCATACACTTAGCACAGGTCTAAAAGCTGGAGGACCAAAACAAATTCCTCCCAAGGAGGGGCAAAAAGTTGTCATCGCAGCAATCACTTTGAAACATCCTTCATAATAACCAATGTTACAACTGGATCAGCCATTTGCGAATCATCAGACTCAGTCATACCATTCCAGCCGCTATGACTGAGGCTGTCCCTTGTGTTTGGCAGTGAACCAAGACCCTCAGTTTTAGACACCGAGGCTGGAAGACCAAAGCAGACCGAAAATGTCAACAATTATACAATTTAATATTTATACATTTTCACCTGGTTTAATATAATGGTAGCACTACACAAAAGCCACATTTGCTTCAATAATGGGTATATTTATTCAGAGGAATGAAAAGACTAGAAGAGCCTTTGACTTTTCCTTGGGCCCTATTTCATTTCTATGTAACTATTTTTAAGCAGATGTTACAAAAGCTACAAACAACCACACACCTCTGAACCTAAAGAATGCAGCTATGATCTATAGCACTGGTGGAGAAACTATGGCATGTGTGCCTCAGTCGACTGGTTGTTAGCATTGAAAGCTCTGAAAGATTCACCATCACTGATCTATGTAGTCTTTGTATGACCAGATATCCCATGCAGAACTGAAAAGCCCCACTATAGCACAAAGCTAAGGAACATTTGTAGAGGAAACAATCAGCTTTTTCTAAACACCACCAGGCCCCATCTTTAAGATTTTCAGGAGAGGATGTCCTCTATGCATCAGGACTGCCAGGCCTCATAACCCCAGTTTTGGTTCTCTGTGACTCACTTCTCTCTTAGGAATATCTCAGAAGACACCACTACCGTCATCAAACTGACCTATCTCCCTTCTAATGTTACAACCAAAGTCCAGACCTTGTTCTAATTCCCCTTTGCACAGTTGGGAAAAAAGAATAGGTGGACAAACTTCACTAAAGTCTGGGGATAATAAAGGAAAATATAAGAGAATCTGATTTGTGATATGAGCTCAGTGCCCATCTCCTGGCAAACTGTCATGTGACAAAGGCCATCTTTCCCATATCAGGGGCCCTCCAGCACTGTTAAAGCAAACATCAGAACTTTCACCCTATTTTCATGCCTGACTGAGTAGGAGATACATCAGCTGCAAGTAAACTATGCCTGCTGTCTCCATTCCCTTTGCTCCCACATACTAGAATACAAATAGGAACACTCACTGTGGTTAACTTTGATGGTTCTGTCACTGTAATCATCAGAGCACAAATGATTTGCAACATACTTCACAACCATAACTGACACATCAATAGCATTTAACTGGTCTAAACTGCTCAAATACTCAAACTGTATTTTTAGGACAGTGACTGAACTCTGGAAATCCACAAGAAACAGTGGGAACCCTAAATACCACGGAGGGTCAGAAAGGCAACCTAGAAAAAAAAACAAAGTAAATTTCAACTTCACCCCCAGGTGAAGGGGGACTCCACACTGCTAAGACAAGGTGTACAAAAAAGTACTAACAAGGGCCGGGGATTTAACTCAGTGGTTCCGCCGCCTACCTCGCAAGTGCAAGGTCCCAAGTTCGATCCCCGGTACCAACAAAAAACAAAAAACAAAAAAAGAAAGTACTACAGTGTCCAGCCCTGCAGTCCTAACTGCAGGAGAAACCACAGCCATTGAGGCTTTAAATCCAGTTGGGATATGGGCTGGTCTAAGGGCTACTGCTTTACTCCAAAGCAGGAAATCATATTAGGCCTCACACAAGCTATTACAACAGCCACTACTAGACACCATCCTGCCTTAGAGACTAGCAGCCAGACACCTGATGCTTCCAGAAGCCTTGGGTCTGTGTACACCACACATAGCAGAGGACAGCCCTGTCAACATACTGCAGATTCAGGTCCAACAGCTGCCATAACCACAGTCCAGGTCCCTTCAATGGGAGCTTGAGATGATCTCTTCCCTAGTCCACATCCCTGGGATTGAACCTGCTGGTGCAAAAGTCTTGGCTTCACTCATCTGTCTGGAGCTGAGAAAGGTATCAAAATACTTCCCAAAGCTCCAGAACTGTGGCTTTCAGTGCCTCAAATCCTGTATTCCCTGCACTGACCCATAGGAATTTGGAAGATCTCCCCAGTCCACACCTCTAGTTGCAAAAAGCCCCTCCATGACCCAAGCCTGTTCCTTGAAACCATTAGGCCTCGTCCAAATCCAACAGAAGTCTCAGCCCTCCTGGGATTTACCCCATGTGCACGAGGGACATTTCTATCTATTTCTAATCTTGGCATTACCCTTGCTCAACCTGTGGGACCTAGGAAAGTCTCCACTCTTGGACTCAGGAATACAGCTTCTGGTGCCAAAGGCCCTGGTATCACTCATACATGTCCCTTGGAACCTGCAAAAGGTATCATCTGGGTTCCACAGCTCTAAGAAAGTAACTACCTGTTCTACAAGCCCCAGAGTCACATACCTTTCCACCTCTAGATTTCAGGAAGGTCCTCTTTGTATTCCACAAGCTTGAGTCCACCATTACCAAGGCCACAGACCTCAGCATCACTTGTGCTCATCCTACAGGACCGGGAAAAGTTCCTATCACATCCTGTGGCTCAATAACTTTAGCTACTCATACGACGGTCCCAGGCACCTCCTGCATTCATCCTGAGTGCCCTAGGGACACTCCTTCACATCCTATGACTCAGGGACTCTAACTGCTGGCATCACAAGCACTGGTATCACCTGCACTTGCCCTAAGGGACTTAGGCACATACTGCACCACAGAGACCATGGCAGCCATTACCACAAGCCCCAGTGCCATTAGTACTTGCTTCTCTGATATAAGAGGAAATATACCTGTGGAAGCCTATGTCATACAACCGTAAAGTCATACAACTACCTCAAGAACCACAGAGTCTAGACTACTGAAGCATGCATAGATACTGCTGATATTACTCAAAGCTGAAGAAATCATACTGGGGTAACATTTTTGAGCTGACCTATAACCAAGGCCAAAGCACAACTGATATTCTATATATCATCTAAACAAAACTTCTTTTCCTATAAAAGCTACTCCATAAAATTAGAAGAGGCAGCATCAAAGCAAATGCATAGACATCAACATAAGGACAAAAGAAACATAAAAAGAAATATGACACTCCAAAATTCTCCACAAAAGGAAATCTATGAAAGGCTTCAAATTTTTTTCAAAAAATAATGATCCTAAGGAAACTCAGTGAGAAGCAATATAGAAAAGTATGAAAAATGAGAAAAAATTTCAAGATATGAATGGAAACTTCAACAAAAATAATTTAAAAAGAAGTAACCAAAATCTTGCACTAAAAACATCAGTGCAATAAAAATAAAATATAACTGAAATCTTCCACAACAGACTAGATTAGTGATGGCAAACATGTTAGAGACAAGTGCCCAAATTGTAACTCAAAATCCACTTATTTATTACAAAGTCCCAACAGTGCAATGAAACCTGAATACTGAGGTTTTAGTTTAGAAAAATAACACATACAATCACATCTTTTTTCTTAAAAGAAAAAACACAAGAGCCAGGGATTTAGCTTAGTGCTTCCACCACCTGCCTCACGAGTGCAAGGTCCTGAGTTTGATCCCCAGTACCAAAAAAAGAAAAAACATAACATGCATGCTATAGGTTTGCCACCACTGCACTAGGTCAACAGAAGAAAGAGTACCTGAAGTTGAGGACAAGTCTTTGAATTAACCCAGATAAAAATAAAAATTAAGAAATAATTTAAAAGAATAAAGTATACAAGATTCATGGAACACCACTACACAAATATTTATTATGTGGGTTACAAAGGAGAAGAAAAGGGGAAATATACTGAAAACCTATTTTATTAAATAATAGCTTAAAACTTCCCAAATCCTCAATATTCAGATATGAGGAATTCAAAAGACCCTGACTAGATTCAACCAAAAAAGATTTCCACCAAGGTATATTATAGTCAATATGTCAAAAATACAAAGAAATAATTCTAAAATACCAAAAGAAAAGAATTAAGTCATATATGAAGCAATGTTCATTAGACTGCCAGCATATTTCTGAACAGTGACTTCACAGGCCAGAAGAGAATGAGATGATATGTTCAAGTTCTAAAATGCAAAAATCCTCAATAAGATACTGGCAAACAGAATACAGCAAATCATCAAGAAGGTTATACAACATGACCAAGTAGGATTCATCCCAGGGATGTAGGGATGTTTTGACATATGCAAATCAATAAATGTAATACACCATATTAAGAGAACCAAGGACAAAAACCACATGATCATCTCAATAGATACAGAAAAAGCATTTCATAAGGTCCAACATCCATGATAAAACCCTACAGAAAA